AACGATTTTTTTCTCTAAAAGAGTGGTTCTATTATCCATTTACATCCTCCCAACTTCACGACTGATAATGACGTCCATCTATGAAGCCCTGCTACAGAAATTATTTTCGAAGGTGAACGAAATGATTTTCGACGGCAGAAAAACTTTTATTACGGGGCCCTGGTTACGAAAGAGAGGATAAATCGAGTTGCAAAATTTAGAAACCAAATTCTCTAACCTGGTATACCCATAAGTTTTGTGAATTCTTAATACCGAAAAATTGAATGACGGCCAAACGTACCGCAGTTCTACAGAATATGCTATGAAAAGATTCCGTCTCATAAATCACCGCGAAAAGTACCGATTTGAGTAAGAAAATTCGGTTAGCTAGTCTCCACTTTGTTCTAGTATTAATGACAAGATGGCATTGAAATAATGATGAAAATAGCATGTAGTTAGAGACGATGTAAACACGTGGCAGCTCGTGCCACAACAAACTGGAGGTTACAGCTCCACAGACTGACGGAAACATAATTTCCAAACTTCAGAATACGAATATATAATAAAACGTAAACAATTCATGTAAATTATTTAAAATTAAGTTTAATATTGAATTTAAGTATATTGAAATATACATAAATAGATTTACGCGTAATTTCCGTGTCAGGTATATTTATCCCTCGCGCACTCATTTCTGGCTTTAATTTTTAATGGGCATATGAGTGTCTGTATTAGTTTTGAAGTGAGACATATGACGGTAATATAATTCACACAAAACGAAAAAAAAGTACTTTTTTTTCGAAATATGGCGAAATCACTCCAGCCCTTTGAAACAGGCACTATTGTTGAACACATCTAATAGTTCATTTCACGATCTTGGTTATTCTTGCTGCTACTAGTGCTGATGACAACGAAGTAAAATTATTTGATTTCGAAAATTTCACTGCCTTGGTATATAGTATAGAAAAATATAAAGAACTATCACACACTCGTATTCACAACGCCGCTCTGTCGCTGCTGGCGGGAAGATCATTACACACACACACACACACACACACACACAATGGGAAACAGAAAGCAACATCCTTCCAGAACGGCCAACATTATACAAACGACTCATTGATTGATTGATTGATTGATGGACTGTTAGTGATTCCGGACGCGTCACCTACCGAATCTTTAGTCCCGTATGTGTAGTGCATGTTTTTGCTCGGGAGGTGTCGATTGTCTTCACCCGCTTGATGGCAAGATCCGGTGCCGACCTACCGTCCAGCTAGTGGGACTTTCCCCAACCAGGAATATCCCACCAGCGGCGCACCGCCCCACCCGAGACATGCTCTAAGCTCCCGGCTTCTGTGGTAATGTCGTGAATGTTAGCATAAGTAAGTGTTAGGGGGTGAGAATAGGGCAAGGAAGAGGTACGAAGGATCGAGCGCGGTTGGTTGTTACGGAACTACTCCGGCATTCGCCTGGCGTTGATCGGAGATACAACGGAAAACTACTGATCAGAGCAGACGGCCGCTAGAATTCTCCTCCAGGCAGTGTTCCAGACAATGTCGAAAATCCTGCCATCGTCGATACTCTAACCTTGGACCTCCCGGTCAGATGGGCTGCATTACTGCGTTGATGCCCTGAGCCATTTCTCCCGGTCAAAGGACTCATGAAATGTATATTTTGAGTCCATAAATCTGACATCAAACGAAAATAAATTCTCCCGATATCATAAATAATGATTAAATAAAATCAAGAATTGACTGAACTTGTTCCAATAACGCGAAATTTAAAAAAAATTGTAGTAGCTAGTGTCAAACGAAGACAGAAAATTGGTATTCCCCTCGAACACCGAGGGGTACAACATATAAACAAATGTTTTCAAGTTTGTTTTTTTTTTTGGTTTCGTTCACACGAATTTCAAGGGATCAAAGTAAATGGCGTTCGACTTATAAAAAATAATTATATGCGATTATTTCATATATATTCGTAATAATATGTTTCCTTGTCGGGCCCCAAATTTTGTTAGTTATGGCGAAATTCAACTCGAACGAATATGTGGTAACGAGAGTTTACTGTTCTACATTTCATAGCAATGATAAATTCTCACACAAAAGTAGACTTCTAGGACTTTTAATGTGTTCCGGTAGTCATTTCCGCTGACCCCATAATTATTATTATTATTAGTGTTTATTATCATGAGAAACATCGACAAGGCCATCGCCGCGGTTCATGAATTGAGGACATTCCTCGTGAATTTAGATCTGTAGTATCAGGTGAACAATGCAAGCGTCTGTCAGAAATCTTGTCCATGTCTGTCTTGTGTCTTAAAATTGACAAGTTCTTTTTTGATGTCATATATACAAACGGGCAACTACTAACTGTAAGAGGTTTTGAAATAAGTAAATAATTCTTTGAGTAACGATAAATAACATATTTAACCGGAGAGTTATATGTTTAAATAAATGTAACGAAATTTAAATTTGAGCAAAAATACACATATATTCAGTTTTTTTCAAGTGTTTGGTGTAAAAGGAATAGACAACGTGAAAAATTTGTTTGTTTTTTTGTATCATAAAAGCCTCGTTTGACACTAATTATTGAAAATTCGAAATTGTCAATATTATATCGAAGCTTGAAGAAAAAGTTATTCTAATGAGATGTATAACTGCTATATAAGCAATTGCTCCTAGTGAAGAAAACTTGAACTGCTTCCGCTAAGTCCATATTCTTCCACCCCTGGAGGCCAATGAATGAAATTAATGGAGCCGAAGTTTGTGTACCAGATGCGTTTCCAAAATCGCATCGGACACGTGATTTCCCATATCCCCAGTACTCAACCTTCTAGAAGGTCATTGGCCTTGCAGCAGAATATAATATAGGGAATAGATGTGAATTTCGTATGAGAAACCACAGTTTCCAAACCCACGTACTGTAAACCGATACAGTGATCTGAAGCGCCCAAATAAAGGACAATATATTTTTGAATAGAAAAAATGAGAAACATATTCTGTAAAGAATAGAAATCATAAAACCAACCGAATAACGAAGCGATGCAACTCATCACTCGCATTCATTGACGCTACGCCACGCTCGGGTGACGCTCGTAGGACACATTCAGATAGGGGACATCGAATAATTATCATCAGTTCAAAAAGTTTATGTTGCAGAGTAAATTTAATGTTAGGGTTTTTTTTTTCTTTTGTGATAGAAATATTTCGTGTTCCGATGCGAAACACATCTAGCTAACGCGAGAGGGAAAAACAGTCGAAGTGGAAATGTCCATCCAAGACATTTGCGGATGTAGTTAAATGTAGTTTATGTTGTTATATTAGATTTAGAAGATGAATTTTGTTTTCTTTAATAATTTTATTAGCATTATATATATTTGATAATTGTATTTGTATTAGTGGCGGAAGTTTTAATTTCGACATGTACATAAAAGGACAATAGATTTCCAGTGAATTTCAATATTCTTCGTGAAAAAATTTCCTTTTGCCAATATTGCAGTCTACGCAGTCTCCATGCGTTGTGAGGGCTGCGGAAAACTTCATACTACCAAATTTGCTAATTCTTTGCAAAGAAATATCATAAGGACTTTTGAAAGGCCTTAATAAGGAATTAAGTTGTTTAAAGTCGAAATACCTTCAAACATTAATAAGAAATGTTTTGACTGACAGACACTGACAACAGACAGTCTGAGATACTGACAGACACTAATATACTAAGATACTGACATACTAACAGACGCTGGCATACTGACATATAAAGACATACTGACATATACAGACATACTGACATATACAGACATACTGACATATACAGACATACTGACATACAGACATACTGACATATATAGACATACTGACATATACATACTGACAGACACCGGCATACTAACATATACATATTAACGTATACAGACCTACTAACATATACAGACATACTGACAGACACTGACAGACGCAGACACAGACGCTGACATTCTGACAGACAGATGCAGACACTGACGGACACAGACACTGACGGACACAGTCACTGACGGACACAGTCACTGACGGACACAGTCACTGACGGACACAGTCACTAACGGACACAGTCACTAACGGACACAGTCACTGACGGACACAGTCACTGACGGACACAGTCACTGACGGACACAGACACTGACGGACACAGACACTGACGGACACAGACAAAGCGGCCCGACATGGCTCGCTGCCACGGCACCCTAAAGCGGCAGCTTATTAAGGCAATCGGACAAGGTAGACACAACGAAGCCCGGGAAAGCGGTGACAGAAGGTAATCACAATAGGCATAAACACAAGGTAGGCATTCAAGGTAATCACACAGGCACACAAGGTGATCACACTAGGCAGTCACAAAAGGCGCGCGCGCACACACACACACACGCGCACACACGCGCGCACACACGCAAGTCGTACAGAAAGCCGTAGATGGACACGGGTTATATTAAGAAAATATGGGTTTGCTCTCTGTCGAGGGTATCGAAGTCAGAATTTTTACAAGGGCGACCAAGTCACAAACTTTGCTTTTGCAAGGAGTGTTACCATTTCTTTATTTCCTACATCTTATTTTCGATATATTTAGTATTTCGCTCAAATGAGAAAAGAGTAACAATCAGACCATGGACGAATGGCACACGACTTCAACTTTCGCAACAAGTCAGGTACAGTATTCGAAGACAAAAATTAATGTTTAACTCATGACGAATGAAGGAATGTCTCGAAACGTGAATGAAATAGTAATTCCTTTTAAGACATTTTATTGAGAAACACTACAACAGGTAGAAACCCCAAAAACATGCTTCCCGCCAAATTGTGTGATCGGTTTTTGCAGCATTTAATAGCTTATTTTATTCTACGTCTTCGAGAAAATTAAAACAACAATACTTGTTCACAAATTACTCTTATATTGTTAAACCCGAAAATATTTTGAAAATGCCTTAAAATGAAAATACATGTAGTACTATAGTTAATTGTACTCACAAGTCTATGAACTCCTTTTACCTTGGAAGGCACTAAAGACTGTCGCGTTGTGTATCCAGTCGTCTTCTGTTCCACTGCTGTTCACAATCACTTGCACTACCATAACTGTCGTTGCCTCGTCGGACGGCGTGACCTCGAGCGTTCCGCGGGAAAACATCGTCTGCGGCTCCAGATTCACACACCCTCGCGGCCACTCTTCCACGTTTTCTGTCCCGCTAGGGTTGCCCCCACTGCGAGCACCTCCTCCACCACCACCACCATTTCCCTCCGTTGTGGGTTCAGGAAAACGCCGCTCGCCCCGCGGGCAGGCCCGCCCCCCGGAGCCGCCATTCCCGTTGCGTGCACCCGCCCCTTTCCCCCACTCCTCGCCTCGGCCCAGGAGCCAAGGGAGTCACCTTCATTGTCCCCCTTTGCTCCATCCCCCCCCCCCACGGCACAAAGGCCTTTCCCGGACGGTTTACATCTGGAATGGCCGGCAGGTACGCGGCGGTTGAAAGTTTCCTCGTGGCTCGCGGATCCTATCAAAGAAGAGTAGTCGTCTTTTGTCAGCACGTCACGTGATGAGAAAGAATTCCGGATGTTGCATCATAACTTTTTTACTTCTAATAACTCGAAAATGTATTTATATTACCACAATAAATTAAAGTGTTCAAATTACGAGCCTTATCTTTAACTTTTGTGACAATGAACGCACATGTTGGTAGCTTGAAGAGGTTAACACTTCCTTGGAGAGGTTTATACAAAAATATTTACTCAAACACTTCCTTGGTGGCACTTGTGGCCTTGTGTAAAGAGCATATGACTTAATCAAGGCGTATTTTAAGCTAATAAAGCATGAATGATTCTAGCATCGCCTCTCATACGCAATGAAACTTGGCAGAGCCTTATTGGAAGGGAAAAAAGCATTGTCATATTTACAATAGCTTGATAAGTATGTTTCTACATTATTAAGTGTTGCGTTACTAAGATATTCCCTTATCAACGTCAAACAATGTTAAAACTATATTATATTTATAATTAATTCTGCATTAAAGTGTGGGAATTTGGTGTCAGAATGACCCGTCTTCCCTGCCTCTCATTCCATCATTTCGTCATCATTAGTCTCCTCTTTATTATCGCTATAATCACCGTCTTAGGTGGCTCAGGGCATCACTGGTGCCTCTCACCGGGAGGTGGTACAGTTCGAACCCCAACGGCGGCAGTAATTTCGACTAGCTAGACAGCTAAGGTCGAATTCAGACGCTGTGTAGAGGAGACTTCTAGCGGTCGGCTGATCTTATCTATATTCTTCCGTGGTTTCCATATCAATTCCAGGCGAATACTGAAGCAGTTCTCTAACAGACGGACGGCGGACTTCGCGCGATCTTTCCTTCCCCTTCCTTGTCTTATCCTCACCCCTTACACACAATTACACTTACATGCACTACTCTACCGCACAAACCGGAGACCAGTCGGGAACTTACGTATTGTCCCGCAGGCGGTCCCTCGCTGATTGGAGATGACTGGTTGGGGAAATGCCGCTAGCCGACGTATAGGTCAGCGCCGGAGCTCGCCAGCCAGGGGTGAAGATCACCACCACATCCCGTTTTAAAAACATGTACTATACTTACGGGTCTAATGACCTTAGCAGTTTACACACTCGGTGCCACAAATCAATCAATCAATATAACAATCTCATTAGAACATCACTCATAGGTTTCACTGTCATCAACAATTGAAAGGCCCCTCAACTCCTATAAAAAGAAAAGAAACAAAACTGTGAACAACAAAGGCATTAAGAGTCATTAAAATAGCATTAAGACTAATAAAGCGTGCAATGAAAAGAGTTTAGAATAAAAAAATATATATCACATGAGTCAGTAAAATAGACTTGTATGTTAAAATGAAAATAAAAAAGTGTTTTTCTTTCCAACATTTTTGTTTATGACAAAACTATTAGCAGCTTTAATTGTCTTTATTTGTCATTAGATATTCGGAAAACAGAAATATCACCTTTACTCTCATATTTGGAATGCCAACAACACATCACCAAGAAGCCAATACTGTAGTTTAAAAACAAAATTAGATTAATAATAATTCAAACAACTGAAGCAGAGTGAATTGCTGTTTCTTTCAATCTGTACACGTGCTCTTAATCAGCAAAATAACTTTTGTTTTAATATAACATTTCTTGTGAAGTCAAGGTCTCATTCTACAAACCGGGAATTGTTGTCGGGAAACGTTTATATTCAGTATCGGAGATTATATTTCCTCAAGGTGTTGAAGGCAGCCGGAAATGAAGGGATAGCCCTCCAATGCTTCGTATTTCGTAATGATTCCACAAATGCGGAAGCAGCGATGAACAGATGTAATGATGTCAAATACCATTAGTCATACAAACAGGAAAAAATCAGCCAGCGGGAGGACACTCTCCTTAGAAAAGGTGTGCGCATGAGATCTGTGCAGTTCATCTGACCGGAAAGAGAATATCTGTTCCTGTTTTATTTCCTTAATAGTAGTTTATGCAATTAGTTCATAATATTAAGCTTTATTGCATGAGTACATGTTTTGAAAAAGAGCGACTTTAGGAGCGCATTTTCAAATTTGTACGAATGTAATAAAGCAACATTATAAACGATTTGCATACTACTTTTTTTGTATAACAACATTATATATTTACAAGAGAATCAAACTTAATTTTGCGAAACAATTTCTATGTGACGACTCGGGTATTTGACATCGTGCGAGTAAACTGTTGTCGCTGTTCCGTTTACCTCTACCTCTCCCCATTCTCTCGCTACAATTGGCTGAATGTGTGATGATGCAATCATTCGTAACATACAATCTTAATAGTCATCATTTGTGCTGTAAAATGCCCCATTATAAATGATTTCTTGCAACAGAAAAGGTCTTTTATAATGCTGGAATACAAAAAAAAAAAAAAAAAAAAAAAAAAAAAAAAAAGCTATCTTGTTCAATTGGATTACAATTTTTTCAGGGAGTTGAATATATAAAGTACATAACCTAGAAGCCAGATCCAGTATTTGTCAGTTAAATAATTAGCAAAAATTTAATATGTGTGCTAACACTAATTTTAATTTTGGGGGTGAAGAAGAGTTATGCGTGGTATCCAAAAAAAAGTTTCGCTTTCTATGTAGTCTAAACATTTTTCTGTTTTGTGAAAGTGGGGCTGCTTGCTTTACTGACGTCCTCGGCAGAGTGTTCTGAGGGTCACTCCGCGAAGAGAACCATCCAACGGCGTGAACTGAGAGCCAGGCGAGGCGCACGGCAAGTGGGAAAACATGCGAATACATGGGCAGAGAAGTTTGAATGTTTGCGACCGCTTAAAAGAACCTGTTCCATTCATGGAAAAATTATCCAAGAGCGAGCAAGAATTAAAACCATACAAATCAATTAGAGAGGAACTACCACTTTCTCAGAGACGGTGATAGTTGATATTGATTGGATTACAAAGAGACCGATTGATATCATACCTGAAATGGCTGTTAATGGATGAGACCGTTGCAGCAAGTCACTTTCTGAACCACACGATCATATTAACAATGAAAATGCATTTCATTAAAGAAGAAAAATTATCAGACAATTCTACTGCCTCTCAGCGGAACGTCTATCAAAAATGGATATTTTAACCTCTTAGTGCAAATAAAATGAGTAATGAAGGCCCCACTCCTTCCCCTCCAAAAAATAAAAAAAATAAACTGACCTGCATATCCTTTTCCTCATCTTTGTTTGGCGTTGCGTCGACAGCCACCGGGTGCCCCTTGAGGAAATGTCCCTGTCAAGAGGTGCAGATTTTCCTCCAAGTTCTTTGCCGCTCCCGATTGGGTTAAACAGGAGAATAGCGCGGCCAGGCAACCGCCCCTGTTTCTATTGCCGGGAATGAGTCATGCCAGGTGAGAGTGTACCGGGGTCATTGTAGCTCTGCCTGGGTGTTTTGTGTCCCGCGTCATTTGAAAAGTTGTCACCTTTTAAAAGAGTGTGTCTCGAATATTTTCTAAACGTAGGGGGATGTCACGGATAATTATATCTTATTAACAATAAAAACCAGTAATTGGCTCAGCAATAACATTTTTAACCCAGTATTCGCAAGGTTCATTTTATCGAATACGGACTACAAGGCGGGGCCGTTGATGACCCCCGACCTCCTACACACACACACACACACACACACACACACACACACACACACACACACACACACACACACGCACGCACGCAATTTCGATACTAGCTACGACGAATTCAGCCGCTGTTTGGTGAAGAACTAGCGGCCGGCTGCGCTGATTAGTAGTTTTATGTGGTTTCTCCGATCAACACCAGGCGAATGCCCGAGCAGTCCCACAATAAACGGGCCACGGACCGTGCGCGATCTGTCCTAAGCACAAAGCCAATACAGCCAATTCAAAGGCAAAGAGCTATTTTTATTTACACTTTTGAATTTCTGTACCTGCTATGCATAGGAGTTTTTCATGTGACGCCTGATACGTTAGTGGGTTGGAAGTTGCAATATTGTAACTTTGATTGTAGCACTGCTTGTTTTTAATTTGAATGACACGCATAGAAATATTGCCTAAACTATCTTCGTAAGTACTCGAAATTGAATAAAGGGGGGATCCAATGAAGGAAACTAATTGGTAGGTGAATATAGAATGAATGGTTATGATTCTGTTTTTTCCAATCATTTACACTTATTGTGAAGTATATACATAAAAACATACGATATATTCACATTTATTACGTTACATCATAGAAATTTAAGGCAGCAAACATTTTGAATTTACATTTTGACGAGAAACATCGAGAGAACGCAGGTGACGCCACTTCCGTCAAAGTATGGCGTGAACAGAGTCCTGAATGAGAGAGATAGTAAATCTGTCCTGGAGCAATTTACATCGAGTCCTGAAGCAATTCACTTTGTCCCACTCAAACACCTTTCCTAATATAAACCGTGGCTCCACAGATAAAGAGCTTATCATCTACCATTACTTCTCGTACCGTATCTGCCTTTTTGTATCTAGTACTATACCTGGAGTCTATTCGACCACAAGTCGTCATGAATGTGGATGAAAGATGATGAAAGTGGAAATTATGAAAGTGGTACACATACTCGTGTATGTTATTGGTAATATACGGAGTGTAATTTAATGATTTTGTATAAGCATATCTTTGTAAGTTGTTTTCGATAATATAATAAGTTTAAAA